AAAAAAAGCTGACCTCGGCGGACATGATGGGCGTTTCCGCTCTTGCACGCTCCCCCGACTTGTCTCTCGTCACAATGGTCACCCGAGGCAGGATTTGTCCCACAATGCACTGCTCCAAACCGGCACCATGGCCTCGCTCTGGCTCGCCACCGCGCGAGAGCTGAGGAAGATGAGGATGGTCACATGGTAAGAACATTTGCATTTTATCAAGTATTTAACGTTTTAACGGTGCCATTTTTTACATTTACAAGACAATACTACGTTTAGAAAACCTTTCCTCTCCTGTAGTGTGTTCTATAGGTTTGTGTGCATGTAAATGGTCTGCAGGGGCTAAAATCCCAAAGTTATGGAACATAGTGACATCACTACAGAACATTCGCGGTCCAATTGGCTGGCGGGTTAGGGTTAGGGTCTAACCTAACCCTAACCCTAAGTTTCAAATATATTTAAAAGAAATCTCAAACATTCAAACTCAACACTCAAAAAAGAATGGATGGAGGACGCTCTTCCGGACTTTCAAACCTTCCTACTGTATTTATAATCCTCCTCCACCTCTGAAAGTGTGATTCTAAAAACGCTTCTCTACCCTGCATGTTTTGTTCACCTGGTGGTGACGATGGTGCCCAGGTGTGGATGCTCTTGCGCATGCCGTCGGTCTCCAGGATGAGGTCCAGCTGGTCGTTCTCCTGCGGCTCACAGGTCAGGCGGAGGCCGGTCAGATCCCCGAGTCTCTGCTGCAGCTGCTGCTCCGCCTGCAGCCCGGCGGCACACGCCTCCCCAGAGAGGGCCTCCTCCGCCTGGGAGAGGGAGGCCGAGAGAGCCCCCTCCCCCAGGACCAGGCTCTCCACCTGGGCCTGGAGCACCTGCACACACATGGGGAAGTATATGACGAAAAATAGGATAGAAACTGTCAGGGTCGGGGTAATAATACCAAAATTCAGTACAGAGACAGGAAGGCAGGTTTCAAAGTTTTAACAAAAAGCGAGCCTTATTCTAAAGCGGAGGGGAACTAAAGACAGGAAGGAGAACACATGGCAACATAAACCCAAAACCATGACCGAAATTCTTTAAATTATTTAAAAATATGATTATTTAAAATCTAAAAAGTCATAGTATTTCGTCATTTAAAAAAGTACTTAGTACTATATTTCATTCAAAGTCATAAAAGGTAAAAAAATATGATAAGTCGTAGTATCTAATTTCCAGAAAGATATGATGGAAAAAAGCTAATAATATGAATACAAATGTTGAAAATTCAAAATATGACGAAAAATTCAAATATATATTTTCAAAAGTGACAGCAAAGTCTGGAAAAAAGAAATAGGAAAGTATGACTTTAAAAAAATATATATCTTGCAAGAAGGCAAAGTATTGTATCTTGAAAAACACAATGACAAAAGTGGAAAAAATCTCGAATTTTAAAGAATATATTTCTAGTGGGTCAAGAAAAACAAAACAAAAAAAGCCTACAAATATTTATAAATGAATCTAAGTCATAGTATGTATAAAAACGTATATAATATGTATAATTAACCCATAGAGTCACGTTATATCTGGTGTGTTTTCACCTTCTGCTTCAGGCCGTAGGTGACCTCCAGCTCCATCAGCAGGACGCTCTTTCTGACGTCCAGCTGCTTGTGAAGATCCTCGAAACTCGATTGGATGTCCTCGTCGATAGAAGCTCTCTGATTGGTCAGCTGCTGAAGGATCTCCCGGACAAAAGACAACGCGTCCGAGATCTCAGGGAGTCTGCAGGGAGATACATATGAGTCAAAACTGTTTTATTTCATGCATCAGAAAATCCAGAGGTGAGAGACTTTTTACGATGTATATAGAGATAGGAGTGTATAGAGTGTATTTGTCTATAGAGATAGGAGTGTATAGAGTGTATTGTCTATAGAGATAGGAGTGTATAGAGTGCTGCCCACCTGCTGTGAGCGGCCCCCTGCTGTTCCTGCAGGACGCTGCGCTGCTGCTCCAGGATCAGCTCGAGGGGCTGCTGGTCGTGCTGCTGGTCGTGCTCCTGCACACACTCCTCACACAACACACACTCACAGGAAGAGCAGTACACCTCCGCCACCTGCAGGGGGACGGGATACAGGTTACATGTAATAATAAATAATTTAATAAATTACATTTAAAATAATAATAACAAGAAATAAAATAATTAAAATATGAATAAAGGAAAAAAAATATTATAATAATAATATTAACTAAATAATAATATTACAATCTCAAATAATTAAAATAATAATAATAAAGAAAAATAATAATGATAATAAATAATAATAATAATAAATAATTATAATAAAAAGAAAAAAACATTAAAAACAACAAACATTAAATAACGCATAAAGCCGGTTTTATTCTCCCGTACCTTCCCTGCATGCTGGGGGCAGGCGTTCCTCCCGGGGGGCGGGACCTCCAGGACGGTGCACTCCTCACTGCTGCTCTCTGGGGAGTGCTGATGGGGATCCATCTGGGGGGAAAACACCCCTTA